TTTTATTTTGTGCTGAGGTTTGCAGGCATTTATAGTACAAAGACTTTATTCCTGGTGTAGGATCTCTTTACTTAGTGTCTGCTTTTCAGTGATCCACTCTGGGCATCTGCTCTCTCTGCTTGTCTGCCTTGCCCCAACTGTGGGAAGTTGGTCTCTCTGGATTATTCTTTGTCTTCTATGCTCTTGGAGGTTTCAACCAATGAGAAGCACTGACTGGAGATGGAAGAAGGGACAAGGGACAAGACACACGTCAGGGTATTTATTTCCTTGTCCCCTCCTTGCCAGGCTGTAGTTTGCTGTGGCCTTGTTTTCCCATGTATGACCATAGCTCCTGTTTAGTGGCTGTTTCTTACAATTATCACTGTCTTTTTCTAGTGTCTACCTCCTTCTCTGGGCTCTTTGGGTCTAGCGAAGGTAGCAGTCTTCCTTTCCCAGAGCTGCTTACCTGGGATTTCACTATGGGCTACCAGTTCTCTGAGCTCTGTTCACACCACTGCAAATAATTTATTATTGACTTTCTCCAGTCTACTGTTTGAGTGTGATGGCTGTTTCCACCTAGACCTCTGACTAATACTTATGGACTGAATGTTTGTATCACTTCAAATTTGGATATTACTCCCCAGTGTGGTAGTTTTAGGAGGTGGGTCTTCTGGGAAGTGATTAGATAAAGAATGAAGCACTTATGAATGGGATTAGTGCCCTAACAAAAAAGGCCCCAAAGAGCTCCCTTGTTCTTTGTCATACACAAAGAATCAGCAGTCAGCAACATGGAAGAGAATATCACCAATAACCGACCATGCTGGCACCTAACCTTGAACTTGCAACTTCTGAAAATGAGAAATATTTAAATTTTTATTACTTGTAAGATACCCAGTGTGTGTGTGCTACTTTGCCATAGCAGCCCCATCGGAATAAGACATGTACCATGCTTTTATTGCTGATGTGTAACTTTCAAGTCCCCATGTTACCTCACCACAATTCTGACCCTACATTTTGTCCTCTATCTCCACAGACTCTGATAATTATGAATTGTGACATGTCAGCTTGATTCGAATAAGCACAACCTATCACACTAGTAAATTCTGGGTGTGTCTGTGGATGACTGACATGTAGATCAACAAACTGAGGGTGGGGGAAGACCCACCTTAGATGTGGGCGGCAGTGACCAATAGACTTGTAGCTTCAACAAAATAAAAAGGAAAAGAACAAAGTTTTTTGTTTTTTTTTTTAAGGGAAGAGCTCCGGTCTTTGTCATTGCCTTTAGACACTGATCTCTTTAATTTCTTCCATCTCCCTACACAGACTCTTCTATCTTCAAATGTACATTCACACCAGTAATTCTCCATCGTGCTTTCAGACTTTCAATATTCAACTGTTACTGGATACTTTAGCTCTCTAGTATGTAGTAGACATTTTGGATTGTTATCCCTCTTATCTTGCACATGGCCATTGAGACTCTTCTTCTGCCTTTGAGCCTAATAATTTTGTGTATAATTATGGATATATTTATATTGAGCCTGTTCCTCTAAAGAAACCTAACCAAGATAGTTTTTGGTATGATGATTAAAAGGCCACTCTTTTCTTCAAATGTCATCTCTGTGCAGTAAATCAGCATGGTATCTCGCTTGGATAGGAAAGTCCCCAGGCATAGGGACAGTGCTCCTGTGGCCTCTGTCCTGCTTACTCTGATCCTCCTATGTTGGTGGACAATGGTAGGCACTCAATCCTCATCAAGGTTACTTATAGGAAAAGATCCCTATCTACTGGGCAGATAAAGCAGGTGTGGACACTGCTTCCACACCAGGGTTGGCTTGTGACTGACTTACTTTAGCCTCAAAATCCATTAGAGTAGTGGAAAGGCTGTAATATTATTGGCCAAATTTGTTATCTTGCTTAAGAGAGAAGGTTTGGAAATATTAGCAATCAAATCATTCTTACAGACAGGTTTCACTATCTCAAATTCTTCTATTTAAAGCAATATATTTAAGACCAAAAACGTTTTAGGCTTCTTTTTGCTTATTATTCTAAAGTCACTCCAATTTCTCATGCCAATGATCTCTGAGGGATTCCCCACATACACTGAATGGCTTTGCAGGTCAGGGAAAGGGACAAAGCTGGAATCAATTTGTGAAGCACTGTGCAGCATCAAGGCAGAGCCTGCTGGTTCTTCTTCCTCCACTCTTAACAACACCAGTGGTCAACACCAGTGGGAAGAAAGAATGGTTGGGGAGGACTCTCTGGCTTTGGACTTGAGCACATTGCTGATGCCCACCACCGAGTGTCCTCCATTTTCTGGAAATGCTGTGTGGGCTTGGGTGGTATTTCCTGGCATAGGACATGTATTCTCACCGACATTAACCACTTCACCATTGAGATGACTCAGCGGGCACCTCCTCCCTCAGCTTGCAGCCCTTACTGCATGTTAGAATCACATGGGGAGCTTTAACACTACCTTGCCCGCCCCTCCCAGAGGTTGTGATTTAATTGACCTGTGGTCAGGCCTGTACAGACTTCCTCAAAGGACTAAATGAGTAGCCAGGCTGCCTAATCACATTGCCCAACTCATTAAAAAGAGAATTATTGGCTTTTAGGAGTTTACAGTCTAACCAGGGACATGTACATTATCTCCAGTTCTGAGTAAAGATCCTGGGTGTGTGTGAGCTCCTTGCACATCGATGGCTGAGACTGTGAGATACTTCAAAGTCACAGAACTAGTGGGCTGTCCCTCTGGGGCCTTCCACTGGCCATGCACGTGCGCGCGCATGTGTGTGTACGCGCGTGTGTGTTTATTATCCCAGATGTGCACTTTGGGTGTTGACCTCCAGGAGGAGGCTGGCCTTGAGAGGTCCTGATGTGCTGTGGGAGGGTGGACCACAGAACAAAGGTGCTCTCTCGAAGGGCTGTCATAGCTCAGCATTGGCCAACATCACCACGAAGGAATGTGGGCCTGGATCCAGCACATCACCCTGTTTTTAAAGAAAAGTCTGAAATCTGAATTTATCATTAAATTTTTTGATTTTTCCTTGTTGGGCTCAATTTTATTAAAATATGCACACACATGAAGTAGGACAACAAAACCCATCTGCAGGCTGGCACGAGACAAAGGCTCCTAGAGCTCTTTAGTTTGAGACTAAAACTGGGGATTTCCACTCTTTGTCGGGGTCCTGAAGAGGAAAGCCACATGTCCCATGCCTGGCCAGAGGCGGTGGCTGGGAGTGAGGTGCCAGGGAGTAGGAACATCTGCCTTGGCACAAATCAATCATCATGACAGAGGTTCTTGATACCTGCTGCCACTTTATTGTAAAAAAGATTTCATCTGGGGGGATGAAATCTTTATTTCTTAGTGAAAGATAAAGGAGCCAGCTGCTTGTGCAGCTGGTAGAGGAGAAAAGCAAGGGAAAGAGGAAGGCTTATATTCAGGAAGTAAAAACATCAGATAGGCAAAGAGTGAAGCAGGGTACTCAGCAGGGATCAGACTATGTGATACCATGCCCCCACCATATGTGTTGTACATACATTAGCCCCGTTCAGAAACAGGTCATGGAGAGAAGGCCAAAACTCAGCGAATGTGCAAAGTGTGGGAGGTGCTGAGTTGCCATGCGGCGTTACACCAAGGGGTGGTCACGGGGCTTCCAGGAAGTCTGCCAGGGAATGGCACTTGCTTGTGTGTGTGTGCATGCTTAGGCCCCCACAAAGGCGGCACTGATGTACAGCAAACCCTAGAGGTGTTTATAGCTCACATGCACCGGTGCACTGAGCTGGGCTTGAGCTCAGTTCCAGTGCAGCAGACTGTGTGAGAAGGTGCAGGCAAAGGCTCTGTCCTCCTGAGGCTGACAGCTTCTGGGCAGATGAGGCCATATGGCAGAGAGACTTTGGTCCAGATGCTCCCGACAGGGTTCTGGGTACTCAGAAGCTAATGTCTTAGAGCAGGTGGGTGGTCAAGGAGGGCTTTCTGGAAGAGGGCTGATCTAAGCGAGATCCTGAGAGGTGCAGTAAGAATGAGAGAACACTGGGGCTGAGGGAAACCACAGCAAGGACTGAAAGCCAAGACTAGATGGACACATCCTCAGGGGAATTGGTGCTGAGATGGGCCTGGTGAGTCGGGAGAGGGGGGACCCTGGTCACTGTGTACCTAGTCCAACCCGTGTGCCAAGGAGGAAGTGGTATGCCCAAGATCACTGTGAAGAAAGAGTGACAAAGAAAGTGATACTCAAACCCAAACTTCTGAGAGTCTGTGCCTCTGTGGGAAGCTGCCTCCTGCAGCCACAAACCTTGAAACTGCCAAGGGTGAGCCCAGGCAGGTCCTCCAAGTCTGATTCTTCAGCTTCATTCACGGGAAGGGTGTCTTCCATTCAAATAGCAGGTCTGGAAGGCACCTCTTCCCCCAGAAAGCCTTCCCTTCACACTGCATCCTCCTCCACCCCTTGGGGAGCAACTTCTTACTTTTTTATGCTGCATTATGCATATCTCTCCCGGGGCTGGGTTATATCAGCCTGAGCACTTGGTCATGAAAGTTGGCACAGTGTATATTGGTAGCTGCTCTGAGCCTGACTCGAGCCTGACCCCATCTCCTCACCTGTGCTATCCCTGAGCTTGGCCCTGCCTCACTCTGCCCCCCAGCAATTTAACACACATTCACCATGGCCACACCCAGCCCTGCCTCCAGTCTACTTGGAAGCTAGCACCTTGTAAGATTTTGCCCTTCCTGTTCCTGAGTGCCTTTGCAGATCCACCTACCCATTAGGCATCCAGGCCCTGGTGTCAGGAGTTTGACTTGGTTGTCTACCTTCTAGGCTAGTTTTGCATGGTCCCAGTCACATCCTTTCTTCCAAGGCAGCCCTAGGGCTTTGGAGCTCAAGAAGAGGTGAGTCGGCTTGGAGGAGCCTTCACATGCTGGCTCCTGTGGGTCTGAGGCAGACCAGGCAGGGTGATGGAAGACGCTTTCCCAACCTCTGCCCAACGAGCACTTAATAGACAGCTAAAGGACTGAATGACAAACTTTATTAGAAACACTCCTCATTCATCTGTCAAATTCACATTAAAGTGGGGGGAGAGGCAGTGCCATCTGGGGCTCTGGTATCCATCCCACTGCTGTGACAATTTCCAGTTACAAGGGAGTCTGGGTGGAGCACGTCCAAAACGCACAACAAATGCCAAATGGTGGTGGTGGCAGCAGCAGTAGAAGCAGCATAGTTTGGTGAGAGGACCAGGCTTGGGGTGGGTGGAGAAGGTGTCTCCCACATCCACCCTTCCAGTTACAAGGCCACCCCATGGGCCCCAAGGTGATAAATAGCACATCACACACACACACACACACACACACACATGCGCACACGCACACACGCGTGCACACACACATTTCAACAGGAAACGAACACATGGAAATCTCCTAAAGTGAAAAAATAATTCCCTCAAAGACAGCTTGTGACAGCCAGGCTGCACCCTGAAACAACGGCTGCCCATTGGTCCCACACACCAGGAGGGCTCCCCAGCCTAGGGCATCTTCAGCCTGGTGTCACAATGCCCCCGAGGACTCCCATTAGCACCTTTGGACTGAGGACTGTCCTCTCCACACTTCGCTTTTGAAATGCAAATGCTACTTTAAAAAAAATAATTAAGGATAAACTCTGTCCCTGGGGTGAATCAGTTAGACCCCTCTCCCTGAGTGGAGGGGCCTGGGTTGGGGAGAGCTCTATCAGGGTCCAGGAAGGAGTGCTAAGGAAGCAACGTTCAGAGATGTAAGCCGGAGGTGTCTAAATGCTGCTTTCTCCACTCGCCAATTCTGCTGTTGGGCATCCTTGGGGAATAGTTTCTCAAAGTGGCACAAAGTCCTAAGATGGCATCATAATCCTGCTGCCCTTGCTAGGGGTAGGAGATGGGCAACGAGTTGCTTTCATCATCCATTATTCAGAGGCAATTTTCTCCCCGAGCAGGCCAAGTCTCCCTGGCCCTGTCTGCGATGGGCCACACCACAGCAAGTCTCCTGTCCCAATGTTTTATTCATTCTCTTGAGTAGGAAGCAGCTTCTCTGGTCAATACACAGCTGTAGGCCTGGTGGTCACTGGAAGGCTCCAGACCCCCCATGGCTTCCAAGGGGTTGTCCGGCTTGGGAGGGCTGCCTTTCCCTAGTTGGTCCTGGGAGCCAGGGGAGACCCCTTCTCTCGCGGGCTGTGTGACCTTGCGTGACAGACAGCCCCGGGCCTTGGGGTGTCTACTGTCCTTCAGCGTCCAGCTCACTGGTACTGCAGATAGTTTTTGAGAGACTGAGGCAGGGGCAGGGAGCTGATGTCCCGCAGGCGCTGGCGGCCCAGGGCTGCTCGAATGGATCTTCGGCACAGGTCCATGAGCGGCAGGGGCTCAGCTGCAAAGAGAGGGAAGCGTCAGTCCGGCACCTGCGAACCTCTCCTGCATCCACCCACCTTCAGCATACTGCCTGCCTCCAGCCTGACTGAGCAAGGGGTCAGGGCTTTGTTTACAGCAGCACTGGCATCCTCAGTGGGTGTTGATTGATAAGCACACTTGAGGGAGTGTTGAGAGATGATTTAGGGACAAATAAAAGCTTTCTTTCTAATAGAGGTACAGTATTGGTGTGTCACGGTGCAAAAAGTACTTCTCACTAAAGGTCATTGTCAGAAATGTTTGAAAGTCAGGGAACTTGGGTGGATCTGCAGGGGAGATTTCTCTAAAAAGCAATGTAGACTGCTGGATGCTTATAGTCCTACCTACTGTGAGGCTGAGGCAGAATGATCTCTTGAACCCAGGAGTTTCAGACCAGCCTGGGCAACAGACCAAGACTTTGGCTAAAACTAAAATAAACAAGCAGAAAGCAGGTTAAGTTTGAAATGCCTTCAACCCCACAGACTCTCCCTAATAACTCCAACCCTTTTTCTCCAGTACTAGGAATTGAACACAGGAGCTCAGTTGCCTCCTGAGGTCCCCCCTCCCACCCTTTATTGAGACAAGGTCTTGCTAAGTCACTGAGTTGCCCAGGCTGGGTGCAAACTTGTGATCTTCCTGCCTCAGCCTCCCAAGAGTGCTAGGATTGCAGGCGTGGGCCATCATGCCTGGCTGCCTAGCTTCTTTTGATCCTCAGTGAAGGAACAATTTTTCTTCCAACATCCAGTTCTGGAAAAATTCATAAGCAACGGAATTTCTGGCAACAGGGCCAGTTACACCACGTCTAACTAGGTTTACTGCAAACACCCATATTAAACACTCATTCTCTTCCAGGCTCTAGGATTGGCCCTGGGGACACACAGCTAACTGAGCCAAGGCCAGAGGCAGCACTGGAAATAAGCAAGGGTTCATGGTCTGGGTTTCAAAGAAGAATAATTTTTAACAGAATCTAATATATGCAATAACTCTTAAAGGCACAGGACTAGACAGTTACTGGGTAGAGGAGCTCATGGAAAATTTCAGAGAGAGGACATCAAAATGGGGTTTTAAAGGGTTGTAGGAATGAATTGGGCAGGGCATAACAGGCAGGGAGAAAAGGCAAAGTACAGAGGCATGAAACAAAGCAGGTGGGGAGGCACGGAGGGCTAGGAATGGTGATGGCCACTGGCACTGGACGGAGGGTGAAGAGGATGATGGTCACGTGATATCTTGTGTGGCCTACAGGAACATGCATCTCAATACTATTTTGATAACACAGCACAAGGGATATTTTAAAAAGCAGTCAAAGGCACAACTAAGCCATAGATAGGAAATATTAACACAAGAGTTGTGATAAGAAAAATATCACAAGGGAATGTGGACGAAAGCATGTTTTTCAGAAACTTTCAGTTATTGGAGCTGTAGAGTTAAGAAGAAGAACCAGCCAGGTATGGTATGCATGCACGCCTGCAATCCCAGCGTTGTGGGAGGCTGAGGCAGGAGGACCGCAAGTCAGAGCCCAGCATGAGTAACTCAGAGACTTAGTGAGATGCTATCTCAAAATAAAAAATAAATAGATGCAGAGATAGCTCAGTGTGTGGATCCCAGATTCAATCTCTGGAACTGCAGGAAAAGGGGGAGGCATCAGAATTTAAGTGGGACTTGGTTGAGTGTTAGAAGCCATGCCCAAGTCTGTATCTGGCTCTCCTTCACTTGAGGGGAGAACCCAGGAAGCATTAATGGCTTTAAACACTTGCACTTCCTTACCATCCTTTGGTCTCTATGCAAAATGAGATTGGACAGGGAAGGTCAGCTATCCCCTTTTTCACAGCTCAGCCCCACTCAGGGTCAGTGCCTCACGCCAAACCTTGTCCTTGTCAGAGCACATCTCCATCTCTCCTCCAGCAACACCCTTGCTCCCTCTCCCCTACCTGGTCTGGCCCTGATTCTGTAGCGCCCCCTGCCAGTCAAGCCCCTGGGAACTCGCTGCCATTCCTTGACCTGAATCTTTCTGTCTTCAACATCTCGCTACCTTGCCAGGTCCTCTTCACAAGTTTCTATGATCTTCTTATAGTTTCTGGGCACCAGTGTTTGTTGCCTGTGTTGCTAGAGAGAGTTCAGGGAGTGAGTCCCTTGCCTAAGGACACACAGCTAGTAAGCTGCAAAGCCAGGAGTGGAGCCCAAGTGGTCAGAAGCTGGAACTTGTCTTGTATCTTAAACTGCATTTAATGAGCATCTATTCTGTCCTGGTAGTTGTGCTAGACTTATCTCACTGACATCTCAAAACAACCCTGGAGGTTGACTTGACTTTCTCAACCTGGCTTTGGAAATAAGGAAACAGAGGCTCGGGGAGGTAGAGAAGCTTGTCCAGAGACACACAGCCCCAAAGCTTCATCCGGAGTAGCACACCACCTCCCATAAGCATAAGGTGACAATGAAGAAGATCCACCTTTCTCCTAGGCTTCTGGTGGATGGTGACGTGGTGCCCAGCCTCTCCCTGTCCAGCTTTGGCTGCTTTCCAGCCTGCTGCTTCCCATCTGTCCTGCATTACTTCTCGTTTGTGTCAGACCTGAAGCAGCAGTTCTGCCCCTCTACTGTGGAGTACAAAAACTGATCGTATATCTTCATGTGCTAGAATGTTGCACTAATCGACCTGGAGAAGAAGGAACCACAGGTATGGGAAAACATGGATGAACCTCCTGAACATAACTGGAGTGAAAGAAAATACATTTTGTGTGACTCTCGACTAGAACTCAAAAGCAGGGTAATGAAACTAGTGCACTGGTAACTATGGGGTACAGGGGTGAGATGGGGGCAAGAGGACTCCTGGGGGCTGGTTTTGCTCTGCTTTTTGCTTTGAGTTCTAGTTATGTTAATGTGTTCAGTTCATAAACCACATTAAGCAGCACACTGAGGATATGTATGCTTTCTACGTGTATTTTATGCTTCCAAATCAAATATACAGGAAAACATAATTCACTGGCGTTACAGCTTGTGTCTATGTCCCCCGCAAAGCCTCATGCAGTCAGTCATAGATAGGCCTTTTTCCGAGGTGGCTGGATCTAGAATGTGTGATGCTGGGATTAAGGGTGTGTGATTACTAATTAGTCCACTGATTGGTTAGGCACCTGCCCTAAGCCAGTAGCCTAGATAGAATATAAAAGGGACAGAAAGAAGCTGTTCTAGTCATCTTGCTGATTTGCTATCTCACTCGCTTGCTTTTGCTGCCTTCTATCTGCCATGAACTGTTTTTCCTCTGCCTTGCCACCTTGGCTTGGAGCCAGCTGATTATGAACTGAAACCTCTACAAACTATGAGTCAGATAAGCCCTTCCCTCTTTAACTTTGGGTGTCGGGTATTTGTCTCAGCAATGAGAAAATTAACCAATACACTGGCTGAATCAGGGGCCTCAGTTGTTGTGAAACACACAAGCCAAGCACCTGTCTTTCTGATCTACTGGGGCAAAGTAGGGTAAGGGGCTGGCTTGGAATCCAGCTCCCACTCCCACATCTGGAGGGATGGAGACAGCAGGCTCTTTCTTTCCCAACCACACTGTTCTCTTCTTCTCTGTACAATGGGGCAACAACACTTCTATCCATGGATGACTGTGACCATAGTGCAACACAGCATGCCCCTCTGAACTATGTTTTATTTCAGGCCGTCAGCCCAAAAGGTACCTTTAAAAATATACTTATTGTAGTTCTAAAAGTGCCTCAGTACATCATCCTAATTGACAACAATGTTCTGCTCTTGATGAAGATTTATTCAGACCAGGGTTGGCTGTCTGGTTCTATGCTAAAAATATCACAAGGCAATGATGTCAAAAGCTCTCCAGTAGCCAGGTGCATGCCTGTAATCACAGCACTCAGGAAGCTGGAGCAAGAAGATTGCAAGTTTGAGTCCAGCCTGGGTGACTTAGACCTTGTCTAAAAAGAAGTCTGAGGATGCAGCTCAGTACCAAGGCCCTGAGTTCAATCTCCATTACCACAATCAAACCAAACAAAAAAACCAAAACAAAACTCCAGCGACCTGAATTTTGCTGAATTCTCTGTGACTAAGCCCTGCAAGACCCTGGATGAATCACAGGACTGTTTTGCCATCTATGAAATGGGAGTGTGAGTTCTTCTGGTTATAATGATCTGTTTCTGAGCTGGAAATGGGTAGAGATCTTGGCACTGGCTTAGGCTGCTTCCCTGGACCCCTCTGGTCTTCCTTTTCTGTGGTGGAAAGACGCTAAGATATGAGTCACCACCCTACCCTCATCCCTGAAATAAGATCAACCTTTCAAGGTCAAGAAGTGAAATTCTTTGGTGGGAATTTTAGACAATGGTCATCAGATGGAGAAGGGTTTGAGAGACATCCCTAAAATCTGAACGTAAATAGGCCTTGACTTTTGTTTTCAGGAAAATAAATGAGCCACACACATGTGCCAGCACACACACACTGTATGTCAGAGAACTATATCAATCGCTTATCCACAGACTAAGTTCATTTTGGTGTCTGACGACTCAGGGAATTGCTTTTGTGTCTCTGGGCCTCCTCCAAGCTGCCTCCTTTGCCTAGAACACCTTTTCCTGTACTTCCTTCCAGGAGCAGGCATCCCCATCGGGGCTCAAATCTTTCTTCAGTCTGAGCCCCAGGTCTACACCTAGCAGGTAACAATACACTTAGCTAATTATGCAAATGGACAAGTATATCATTACCCGCAATAATGCTACTTCTAAAATATAGCATCCCTGTCCTAACTGACCTTATCATGGCCAAGAGCGACCTTGGCTCACATCTAGAAAGTACTTGGAATGGGGAGTCTTCTCTTGATGAGTTTCACTGTTTCCCCACAAAAAAACACTGTAACCGCAGCTGGGACAAAAGCAGTATCTTCAGAACTGTGGGCCAGTAAGCATCGTCAGAACAGCTGGTCCCACAGTGCAGGTGGGGCCCCCATCCTTTCCTGGAATGGAAAGCTGTCAAGGCACTTTGTGTGCA